AGGTGGGGGGAGAAAGGGGGGGGGTGCGGGCGCGCTTCTGTAAAATGCAACGTATCCGCCCACTCGAGCGAGCACGCTGCCATCCAGCGAGAGAAGCATTAAATCAGACGTTTGCCTCAAGAAAAAGAGCCCAGGGCGATGGCCTTTGACCTGCTGTACTCTCGGCTACCTGACCCTTGTCATTTCGCGCTACAGCCAGAGCTGTGCCAGCTCCGGCCAAGGCTCCCGGGTCAGATGTGACCTCTTTCAGCGGGGCTCGCCTCCGCTACTGCCGACGGCGGCCTCCTCTCCCTCTCGGGGGGGGGGGGGGGATTTAAAAGCCGACCAAACCAAGCTGCCTTTCCAGCAAATACAATAATAAGGTATCTTGAAATAACTCTGCGGTTGGTGAGTTTCCAGCAATACCTCCTAATGGCCCTCCCAGTGCACAGCCTCTCTGTGTGCGCTCGCTGGGAAAGTCACCCAGACACAAGCACATTCCTCCCTTTTTAGGGCTCCCCGGCTGCTCCTACAGTTATTGCCTTCCTCTGGGGTAAGCCTTTTGGGGGTGACTAAGCTTCTCTTACAAAAAGCCCGCTGAGGAGCGCCCGGCTGAGAAGTTTCCTTCCCAGTAAGCCAAGCCTACCGCAGGGGCCAGTGTGATAAAGAGACCGCGGTATAGCCACCCCTCCGAAAGCAGGCTGTGTGGGCGGCCACTGGAAAACGCTTGAGCATCTATTTTGGAGAATACAGCCCTGCCTTTAGCTGTCGCCCAGGGAAAGCTGCGGTGTGGCATGCGGCTCGCCTTGGGAGAACGCCGGCGAGAGATTTGTTGGGGCGGCGGGGACATAAGGCGCAGAAAGGGAGAGAAAGAGACGGAGTCCTTGAGCTGCCCACAAAGCGGCGCCTACCCAGCCAGCGTCCAGACGATAAGCTTCCTGCCCGCAGCAAAAGGGCAGAGGTGGATACAACGGACAGGCTAGAATGGCCAGAAGAAAATTAAGACGGCAGACAATGGTATTGCACACCAATTTACAGAGGCGAACACACGCATGCACCTCCTCCACCCAACACAGGTCCAGGTCCAGGTACATGCCACCCACACCTTCTCTATATCATACACCGCCATATACACACGTGTCCAGACACATAGCACGTCCATACGCAGACCGCCCCCCCCCCCCCCACAGCGTACCATAGATACAGAACCTTATCCCCACCGGCCACACACACAGAGAAAAGCTGTCAGTTCCCACAATTAAAACAAATCGCTGCTCCGGGTCCCTTCGCAATATACTTGGAAGACTGGGAAAGAAAATTAAGGACTCAGCGGAAATCGCCATTTTAGCAAACAAATCCAAGGGCTTCGCTGCTTGGCACCCTATTGTATCCCAGGGGCAGGAATCCTCCTTCAGTTCTGCTAGTCGCTTGAGGTGTCTGAAGAGGCGATATGGTTGAATGGAATTTCCCCCATTAGAATGGCTAGGACTTAAAGTCCAATTTAAGATGTATTTACTTTGTCCCCCCCCACACACACGTGCTTGCTTGAGCCACATAAGTGCGCTTTTAAAAAATGAAAAGCAGTGCGCTGTAACTGTTCCTGCCTTCTCCCTGGCTTCTCTTTCGAGCTGGCAATACCATTGTGAGCGAGCAGCGAGGCCAGCTAGCCGGGTGTAAGTAATTAGTATGATATGTCCAACGTGGACCTTAGTGACATTGTTAAGGAGGTGAAAGCTTGATGCTTATAGGACCAAAACGCTGGCCTTTCGCTTTCACTCAGGATGTGTGTAACACAGAGAGTCCTTTCTCAGCTCGCCTGATTTTAACTTCCTCTAAATCTCTTTCTTGCTCAGAAAACAGCAACGAGAGACCGAGAGGAAACACGCTGCTGCTGTGCAAAATGTGGACCATGTGTGGGAACTATTTACTCAGAGCGTAACTGCAGGCACCAGGCGCGGGGGCTGGGACGTCTGTGGGTGGGGGTTCATTTTTTCCCTTCAGGCCAAAAATGCAGAGCGTGTGTAATCGTGCTTTTAAAATACTTCTCTTCGGATGCGTGTTGTTTTGTACCACAAGGACTTAGAGATCCGTCTTTGTGCTCCCCACGCGCTGTGGCGAAGGGTTCAAACAACAAAACGTTTCCAGTCCTGCAAGGTAGCAGCTGAGTTGCAGGACTGGAAGCTCCGCCGCTTGTCCAATTGGCTGCTGTGCAATACTAAAAATAAGTAATAACAATAACAATCCCCAGCCTTTCCTTTTCATAGATTTCATTTGGATGTAGCAGGAAGTGCCTCTGGCCTTGAAGCAGCCTATTGCCTGTCCTCCTCCCCCTCCCTTTCCCGGGGAGTGAGAGAAAAAGGTCTGCAGCTGACAAATATTATCCATTCTTTTCATCGATCGGAGCGTATACAGATGTGATAGCTCGATGCGCGCTGCAAAGCGGCTGATCCATCGTTTTCGCTTCTCTCGGAGACTCTGGTTCGTCCCCCCCTCCTCCCCCCTTTGTTCTCCTCCCCTTTCCCTCTCTTTAAATAGATTTCAAGGCGCTGCGCTGCCTGTTGGAGAGCAGCTGCTGAGCTCTCCAGAGAGAGAGCGAGAGCAAGAGCGAGCGAGCGCTTGCTTCCCTGTCAATAACCTCCCCCTTCTCCGATTTCCAAACAGAAAACAAGCCTCAGCGCTAGCAACCTGCGCTCTGCCTCCAGGAAGGAGTTAACCACAGCCACGCCAGGCGTTGCACCCCATCGTCCAACACAAGCTCACGTTAAAGGGGCAACTTCGTGGCACCCGCAGCCAGCGGCCTTTTAAAACGGTTATTTGTAGGTAGCAGCTTCGGGCTCAATGGCTACCGGAGGGAGCCAATGAACGGGCTGGCTGTGTGCAGCGAAAGGGTTAACCTCCTCTCTCGCTAGAGACTCCGCTCTCGCACGAAGCGTTTCTGGGGAGGAAGGATTTAACCAGGCCTCGCGCTATGGCTACCGACACCCTGTCTGTCGCTTAAATTATGACCCTCCCTTGGTCCCCTGTGCGGGCAGTCCGACTGCTAACAGGCAGTTGCAATTAGTTTTCGAAAGGTTAGCCAAGGGCTCGGGCTCTGGCAGACGGGAGGCATTACGAAACCGTCTTTGTAGCTGCACTTACATACAAATTTTCCCTGAGCGCAGCAAGGCAGGACCAGGATCAGGGGCTCTTACTAGGAAAACGTGGAGAACCTGCACAGTAATTTCTGCTGAGTCAATGCAGGGCTTGCATTAAACGTGTTCCCTAGTTTGCTTTTTTTTTTTTTTTTTTTGGAGGGGGGGAGGGTTAAAAATCACCTGCTCCTCCAGGTCCCTCCCAGGTGTCGGCCGCTGTGTGAGAGACAAAAGGGTGCAACCCGTCCTCGGAGCTGCTTGGGCGAAAACGCAGTGGGAGGAACGAGAAAGTGTTAACTGGAGAGATGTTGTGACAGATGCTTGTCCTAAGCGTGCTGGTGAGGGAAGGAGTTAAAGGCAGGCTATATAGATCGAGCTGTTCCCTTCCCCGGCCGGCTGTCTGAAGGAGCCGCTGCTAGAAGCCGTCCATCAGCAACCAGTCCAACCTGCCAGTGATAATGTGCGATCAACACCAAATCACCCCCGCCAGGCACGATCCATCATCGCTGCAATGCAACGGGCCCTTGTATGGATGTGCCTGCACCGGGGCGGGGACAGGAGGCTGCAGCACACACCGAAATTGAAATTGCAACAACCTCCTGCTCTCTGCTTGCAAAGGCCTGCGGGCAGCCCCCCAGCTCCCAAAGTTACCCGGCCAGGGAGCGCGCGGGGCTCATCCACCAGCCCTGCACACACACCCCCCACCCCCCGCGGCTAACTCCGGCTGCCAGCCAGGGCTCCCCTCCCCCCGCTCCTCCCGGGCGAGCCTGACTGGCGTAAAATTAATAATTAATCGGGTGAAATTGATTAAAGGGCTCGGAGCGTGGGGGCTTGGGCAGGAGAATGATAATAGTTCTTTCTACGGCTCCGGATCCGCCTGCCCCGAGGAGCCCCCACCCCTGCAAGGGCCCGGGGCTGCGGTGTCTGCTCCGCGCTCGGCCAGGGGCAGACCCGCCACGTCCCCTCGCCCCCCAGGAAGGGGGAGGCGGCTGCGGCTGGCTCCCGACGCTCCCAGCCCCGAAAGCATGGCTGCGCCGAGAGCCGCTGCAGCAGCAGCAGGGGGCGGAGGCTGGCCCCGGGTCTGGCTCGCGTGTGTGCGCGAAGCCGGGTCATCACCGGAGCTGCCCGAGGGCGGCGCTCAGCCCCACAAGGCCGGCCCCTCTCCGCCCCGTGTCAGCGGGGGACGCGGCGGGCCCAGGCACGGCCCCAGCCCGGCCGAGCCGGCGGGGGAAAGGGTTAAGCGGAGGAGGGGGCCCGGCTGTGTCGGGGCGAAACCGCGCCGCGCACCTGGGCTCAGCTCGGGAGCCAGCCGCCGCCAGCCTCCCCCTCCTGCCGCTCGGTGCCTGCCCCGTATCTCGGCTCCATCTCTGCAGCGGCGGCGAGAGCCGGCACTTCCCCTTCCCTCCGCGCGGCTCCTGCGCGCCCTCTAACCCCAGTGACCCAGATAAGAGCCTCCCCCGCCCCCTGCCACCTCAGTCCGGCTCCCCGCCTCGCCCGAGCGCCGCGGCCGCTCTTCGCACACCATGTGCGGCTGGAGCTTTTGTCTGCGGCCCGGGGGCTGGGGACGGGCTATGTTCAGAGCCAGGACAGGAGTCTCCGGGCCCTGTCCGCTCGATGGCAGCCTAGGCGTTGGTCCTGTTCGCTTGTGTCTGTGTCAAACCGCCCTGGGCTTGCCAAGGGAGTGGAGCTTTCAACACTTGTGTTTGTTTTATGTAATAAACCATAACAGTAAATCGTGCCTTCCCTCGCCGGCTAGAGCAGAAATCCAGAGCAAGCCAACACCGCCGTCAAAATATGTTTGATTAATGATCCTTCTATTGGAAATCTCCTTGACTCCGCCCCACGCAGCAGGCTGTCAGAGACTTCCCCTCCCTGGAGGCCCTTCCTAACCCCACTTTGTTTGCTCTTTTAGGTGCAAGTATTTATGGAGAATTTTCATCTTAATTTCTCTCCCGGATCCCTCCTCTCCCACAAGGTTTCAAGATGCCTCTAATCTTGTTACTGCATCCTCCGCTGACTGCCAATTCTAGACGACCCACGATAACCCTGAGTCAAGACTATTCACAGAGTGTCTGGGGGCAATTTGTGCACATATTTTATGATTTAAGATAAAAGGGACCCAGACAGGTATAATGCCTCTTACAGGGTCATGCAACCACATGGGGTGATGAAAATGGAGCAAGCAGGCCTCACCCAGAGGGGTTGTGAAGTCATCTTTGCTGATACTGTGAAATAAAATAATGGAGAACATTCTGAATATGAAGTACCTAGATGGTGAAAATCTTTCACACAACAAATAATACCGGAAGACCTTAACACAAAAGTGTTGGTGATAATGCTCAAACATCCTTTTTAAAAAGAAACCCTTAATCCCCGTGATCAGACTGATAGTATTGAACTAACCCATTTCTAAGAAATGAAGACAGTCATACCTACAACTGGAACCAGTGACAAAACTAGCAGAAAAACCTAGAGTGTAAATCTGTCTCCCTAGTGGTATTTATAAGGGGGCTCACCTTAGTATGTAAATGCAGAGTAAAAGAATACATTGATATCACACTTGGTTAAATGGGAGTTGTGCGGTTTCCTGAGGAGTATATAACCAAGCACAGGAGGTCATCTTGGGAGATGCAGAACTACCTTTAATGTTACTGATCCTGCATTCCTTGCACAGGCAAAACTTCAGTTGAAAATTTGTTTGTTTTTCTTTGACAAAGGCAAACAGTCCATTGCACTATTTTCATACTTAGTCGAGTACCCCGCACAATCAGTACAGTCAAGGGGATGGGCTGCAGGATGACTCCTCCTACTCCCAGCTGCCTACCTTGGCTATTGGGGAAGCCCCACTTCCTATCTCCAGTTATCAAAAGGCAAGGCACTATTTCTGGTAGGATGGATTATTTTTGTCTCCTTTCCTCCTTGGTTCTCTTCCTGTTTTTCTATTTGTTTATTGATTCCCCTTATCTAATACATATTGTCTCATCACCCTTATCACATTTCTTTTCTCTCCATCCCATCCTTTCCCCCACTCCTCAGTTAAACCAGTGCAAGTTTTGTATATAGCAAGGCCTGTTCTGGTGACCTTGCTCTCTCCTTCTGTGGCACACCCTTATATGGCACTAAGGTGACTGCTGGAGGCACCATCATCTCCAAGGGGAAGTGTTTCTAGTGGTTGGAGCCAGCACAGAACTGAGAGCCAGGAATCGCCTCTTCTGTTCCCAGCTCCATCACTGACTCCCTGTAGCCTGGCCACCTCTCTTGAACTCCTACCTCACTGTATTCATCTGTGTACAATTATAATAATTTACTTACCTCACAGGTGTGCTGTGAGCATAACTGATATTTGTTCAGAGCTTTGCAATCCTCCCAGCAGAGATGCTGTATGATTTAAAGGGTGGAAAAAATGTTGTTTTGTGGCCTCTGCAAGGCACTTCCTCCTCTTGTGTAGGTCCTTTGTATGTGTGCAGCTGATTCAGTGCCACACCAAGGTGCCTCAGCCCTATGACTCTGTGACATGACAGGGGTGGGGAGAGGTGCCTCTGAATTTTTGATACCATACTGGCCATTTATTTAGATCTAAGGTAAGCTCTGTGGAAAGATGGGGCCCTGGGGGTCACAGATCCCTAGTTACTCAAGTCCTGTATTCACTGGGAAATTTACCCAAGTCAGGTATTAGTGATCTAAACGTCGGGGGGCCACCAGCAAAGCAATATATAGATACCCCACCCCAACCAACTTCTTACCCAAATTGACTGGGCTCTTCCCGCAAGAACATGTCTGTGAGACCTCCCCCGCAGCACTCTTTCCGCCTGCCTGCAGCTCCGGTCAGGCGGTGACAATCTCTCTCCCACATGCCTGCTTTGAAGGGGACTTCTGGCCAACCGCTCCCTTCCCCCATCGGGATCCCGAAGAGAGCAGGCAGAACCAAAGCCGAACTGTTCGCCTGAGAAATGAAGACAGGGCTATTGGGCTATTTATTGTGTGTCACATCCCTGCCGCTTGGCTTGAGGCCGGAGAATCTGGGTTGGCCCCTGGGGCCTTAACCCACCTCACAAGAGGCACCACCCTGTTATGGGCCTCTGCAGCAAAATAACGCCTTTCTATTGGGGGATGTCAGAGCCCCCTGGAATGATGTCCCTTGAGCCCCCCTCCAGAGAGGTCGGTCCACAAAGTGGCCTGGGACCTCGACCGATCCCCCTAACTGAGCTCAGGAGAAACAAGTGAAAATGAGGAAAAGAACATAAGAAAAGTTCACGAAGCAAACAGCTATTTGGAAAAAAATAAATGAGCTGAGCGCTGGGTCTCTTCTGAAATCGACATAATTAAGGGCTCTACCATTGGGCTCCGTACAACTGATGTGACCTCCACAGAACAGTCCCAAACCTTCTCGTGTGGTCTCTGCGAAGAGATAAAACTTCAATGGTAAAGATGAGTGTCTGTGCTGGGTAAATGCAGTTCTTGGCTCTGCTCGAGAACCATGCCTGTTCTCCTTTTCCCTTCGCGATTTCATCCTTTCACGTTCTTCACCAGCTGCGTTTCCTAAAAGAAAACCCGTGCGTTTCTAGCTGCCCGCCTCAGTTTGCACTGTGCATACCTCAGACACAGCCAACGTGAATCCATTACGCCTCGATCCCATGACACAGGTTTATGCGGATACCCTCTGATTTACATTTTAAACACAGCAAATGCACTGTCTGCTAGCACGAGAAGAAAACCCAGCGTGTAACTTCAAAGGACCTTCAAGGAAATGCAATTAACTGCTCTAATTATCAGTACACGCCTTGTCGAAAAAGACACAGGTGCTCGCTGCAACGCGGTTCCACCTGGTTAAACAGAATCGTCCTACCAATGGATGGACTCTTTCTCCCTCAGTCTGGGACCTGCTACGATGCCTCTACATTTAGAAACCTCCTCACTTCCTCTATCCTCCTCTCCTCCCCCTTGGCTGAGGCAGGAGAGCGATCGCTCACGGCGGCTAGGCTTTGTCACACGAACACACACACAGAGACCACATTGCTCGCTGCTGCCTGGGAGAGATGCATAGTGTTTATTTCCCGGATCCCACAAAGCAGTCACCTTCTGACGCGTTTCTTCCTCTGCTCCCCCCACCTCCACTTCCCTTCCTGCAGCCTGAAGGGAAGGACCGTAGGCCACAATGATAATACAACATTTAGGTTAATAGGGCGTGTTCTGATCTGTTTTCCCCCTCCGCCCGCCCTTCACTCCCTAACGACATCGATCTGCTACATTTACTTCTGCCTTTATCTGCCCCCTGGCAGCCCCGCCAGGGCTCTGAGTCACTGTCTGAGCTACCGGATCTAATACAGATTCTGAAATAACCGAGCCAGGAGCAACCACTAGCCTCCAGCCCGGTTACAGAGGAGCGAATCTTTGTCCACAAGTGGTTCGCTTCAGACAGTTGAACGTGCAATGTCATAATGGCTCCTATTGCTGGTAGACAAGGGAGGTGCTCTCGGCACATGCAGATATGGCAGGAGAGACAGGACCGAGAAGATAAGGACAACTCGGGCTCCCTAACGGTCCACTAGGAGGCGCTGCAGACGCCCCGTTGCCTTTTGCAAGAGGATAGAGTCATCTGGGATTCGGTGGCTTCTCATCTCATTACAGGGCATTAGGAGAAACAGGCAAATATACAGCTATTAAAATTAATCGCCTTGCGCCGTCAGATGAACATAATAGAAATTATTTATAGGCTGCCTACAATGCTTTTATCGTCATGGAGGCTGGAGGTGCTGGGTGCGGGTGTACAGAGAAGAATATGCGCAGGCTACAATAAAGGACAGCTGTACGGATCTGCGCTAGATCTTAAGGGAGCGCTGGAAAGTAATGAGCCCAGAGAGACTAACAGGAGCCCTTGTGGGAGCTACAGCAGCTCAGTTAGTGACAAAGGACTTAGCTTATACTGGCTACAAGTCCAACTTTAAAGTTTAGAGTCCAAACACTGCAGGTCAGCAAAGGTTGTGAGTAGGTGACCTCAACCAGTCAGGCGAAATGTAAACTGCAGACATTTTTCGGATGACTATAGGGAGATCTACATAAGCAAATACAAAACCTAGGCTTTGTGTTAAGTGGTCTCAAATATCCACTCTAGTGGATTTCTCTAGCAGGCAAAGTCCCGGCTTGCTGGCGTGCAGCAATGCAGAAACTAGGAGATTGTAAGCATCTAAGAAACAAATTGCGTCTTAAAATGGCTCTCAGTATTTTGTAATTACCGTACAGTGCAGAGAAGGTGTGCATGCAGGAAGGAATTCACTTTTCTGACTGTTGTAAACTCTGAATATTTGCAGATCTCAGATAACAGATTAAATGTTAATTGCTTGAGACGGCCAGGCATTTAGTTTAACACTCCTTAGAAAACTCTCTTACAGAATATATTTGCTGCGGCTTTATCTGGGGAAAAAAGTTCTCTCTCGCCTGAAGAATCTGTATTTTAGGTGCCAAGAGGGATTTATAATGTACTGCGTTTTTGAAGCAGGGAAAAGATGCCTATAGACCTCCCCTCCCCCTACCGTTCAGTGCTGGCGTTGGTGTTGTTTTGGCAAACAAAATTTATCTCGGTTTCGAAAGGGTAAACAGCTGTTAAATGAATCAAGGTCCTCTGGTGACAACATGAATGAATGCTGTTCCACGGGCGTCGGACAGCCTGTGTAGCAGAGTGTGGCTAGAGGAGTCAAAGTACAGCTAGCTCAGAGAAAGAAGCGAAAACAGTCCCAGTTTACAAAGGCTTGCGGAGAAGGTGCGAGAAAGCCCAAACAGACGGGAAGCCCTGCTCTGCCAAGCTCTAGAGGTTAATAAGTACACCGTCCCCTTTCTCCGGTCCGCCTGAGGCTAAGACTCGCAGCTCAGCGGGTAATTGACAGTCTCAATCCAAAACTGAAACATGTGTTAACAACGCCACGCATCCTAGGAGCTTCTCGGGAGATCGCCTTCTCATGGTCTTTATACATTACTTGAATCCAGCTGAGGAAAGTGTCACGAGGCTCTTACAGCACGTTTCTCGTCTACCTGTAAATCAACTCAACTGCTGTTTAGAAAGAAGCAGCCTCTCTATTTTGTAGCAAAAGTAGCAGGGCCATTTTTTTTTACTCTGTCCTCCCAGCGTCGGTTTCAATGAGGGCCCAGAGGCAAAGCATGCTGGTATTGCCCCCTCCCGGTCCACTCCTGTCCTCCCTATTAATTATGCCTTGGAATGTTGGCACAGATGCTAAACACTAAATCACATTAAATTGATTACGTTCTATTCTCCTTCTTTCAAAGCAAACAGACACGTTTTAAGCATAGCCCTTCGGCTGATGTAGATCGTTATAGGTATCCTTTCAGGGCTTGTTTTTATTTCCAATGCATCCATTCTACACGCTGGACAAAAAGTGATTGGAACGTGCTTTCTATGAGGCGTTGATCCACACGTAGGGCCCAATTCTGCAAACGCTTTTTCCTGATGTGCCGTTAATTGACTCCAGTGGGATTACTGGCGTCAGTAAAGATTACTCCCTTAGGTAAAGGTTCCTAAAAACCGGACTACTTTAATAACTACTTTATGGAGATGTCTCGTGAGCAGGATCGGGCTCATGGTATAGGTTATTAGAAGAACTCACTTGTCCCCCTGCATGTTTATTGAAGATCTTTGTATATACAAAGACTAATCAGTAAACAAACCCAGGCTTAGCAGAAATGAATTTAGTATACTAGCACCTCTGGGATCCTCATTCATTATCACTCATGCTACAGAATTCATGTTTTTCTTTTTCCTTTTCTCAGAGGAGAGAGGCCGCAGATTTTGCCGACGTTCTAACGTCCTTTATAAACAACAGTGACTGTCACGGGAAAGCAGGAGTGGTCGGAAGAACAGAACAGGCTCAGAGGGACTTAGGCCTATACAGACAGCCGGGTTTCTAGGATTTTCAGGGAAGTGCAGACCCAAAGGGAGAGTTTCACCTCTCTTCCCAGTCAGTCACTCGGTGTTCTTTACATCTTCTCCTTTTAACACGCCATTTTCTAAAAGGAGAGACTCTATTCGCCAGCTAGAGGGAAATTCGGGGGCCCTATAAGCCCCCTAAAGTAGAAACTGATCAATTTTACTTTTGTTTTCAAGCTGCCCAGACACAGTACACAAAAGGTGATGATCAGCTGAAAAAAAGATGGACACCCCCTCTCCCTCTTTCTGAACAGACCCCCAGTAATTAACACGGAAGTGACCCCACACTCTTGCACTATTCTGCTCGGCCCTTACGCGGCTGTGCAGCGCGGAGACACCCCGAGAGCGCACAGCCTCTGGAACTGCTGCAGCCAGGGCCGGCACCGGGCAGAAGAACAGCAGCTCCAGCGCCTCGAGCTTCCTCCCTTCTCCCCCAGGCGCCAGCAGCGATCCGCAGGGGCAGGAGGCGGAGCCATAGCGCTAGGCACCGGCGCGCAGGGGAGCCAACCGCCCCTCATTACCGCGGCCCCAGCGCGAGCCGCGATGCCTCTGCGCTCCCGGGAGCTCAGGGAGGGATTGCGCTGGAAGCGCCCCCTGGGGCTGGGCGGCTCCACACCGCCCGCAGCGCGAGGCTGTGACTGCGGAGCGCAAGCCAGCCCGGTCCGTGTGCGAGCTCTCGCCCTTCCACGGCAAGAATAATGCCGTTTTCGTGGGGGGTCGGACGCCACGTAGCTTTTACCCGGGAATGAAAACACACCTTGGCTAAGCTGCTGCTCCCTTAACAGAGCAGCGGCTGGAGGGTGCAGGGAACAACACGGAGGCGTTTGCAATAAGAGCGGCTCCAAGCGCGGTTTAACTGCCCGGGGAAGAGGGTTGTGCCCCGAACACTTGCAATCGACTGTGCTGCTTATCGGAGCATCGCGCGGGGCCTCCTCGTGAGCCAGCCCCATCCCAGTGCAGGGCTGGGGGAAACCCGGGAACCTTGGCTAGGGCCTGCGCTTGAGGCCGTCACGCCCCGCTGCTCGGCCCGGTGGAGCTGCCTGCTGCCAGCCAGCACTGAGCGAATAAGTGTGTGCTGGGGTGGGGGTGAGGCCGTAGTGAGCTGTAGCTCAGGAAAGCTCATGCTCAAATAAATTGGTTAGTCTCTAAGGTGCCACAAGTACTCCTTTTCTTTTTGCGAATACAGACTAACACGGCTGTTCCTCTGAAGCCGTACAAAGAGCGGCTCACCCAGCGGGTTCCCGAGCCTGCCAAGGGAGCTCTTCCCCTCTCCTTCTCATGACTGTAAAGTTACAAGATTCTTAACAGAGGGGGCGTGCAGAATAGCCGACGGCACCCCCAGGACCTACTCCCGCTCGGCGACACACGTCCTTCCTCCCCTCCCCTTGGTTATTTACGCCCGGACTGCACACAGCGGATTATGCCTTCGGCGCTCGGATCCAAGCGGCTCCTGGCTCCGGCTCGCTCAGCCAATCCTTTATCCCTCGCGTTCCCCTGGCTGGCTGCGCCTCCGGCGAGAAGCGCGGGGAGACACGCCAACAGCGCCCGAGGCGCAGCGGCTGAGCCCACGCACATATCTGAGGGTGGGTCTAAGGTCTGGTCACGTCGGCCGAGAGACCTGGCTGGGGCACTCCTCCCGGCAACCCCCTCCCCCCAACACATTCCTCACGGACCGTGCTGGGATGGACAACCTGCAGAGTGGCCGGGCAGTGGAGACACCGCGAAGCCCGCGGCTGACGGGCATGGGCTCCCCGGAACCGCAGACACGCACGATCCTGCTCCCACTCAGGCCCGCGGGGCTTTGGCCATTGATTAGGAGCAGGGTCTGTCCCGGAATCGGAGAGACGGATGCTCCCGGGCTCCGGCTCTGACGCGGGAGCGGCGCCTGCGGAGCCACTGGCTGAAGCAGCCCTTATTACCCTGCGCTGGAGACAGTCTCATGCAAAGCGCCGGCTGTTGTTTAGATTCAACCTGCGCTGAGAGCTGTGATGCACGGTGCCTCTGGCGGGGCACTCGCTACTTTTTAAACGGCATTGTCTCGCCTAGAAGCATTGGACTGGTTGGTTTGTTTGTTTTGAACACAATGGTGTTTACTGAGCATTTATGCAGCCGTGTATGATCTCAGGGAATCGATCTCAGCGGAGAGCAATCTCCTTATAAAGCTGCAGGTTTATTTTTACTTGAGGCAAAAAGGGGCCCAAACCCAGCTATAATTGTTTGTTTGGGGTGGTGAGTTTTCCTTGTAATCAAGCCTACGCAGAAGAACAGATTCCTCCCCTCCCCCCAAAAAACAATTTACAGAAGAAATCCCCTCCTGGCGCGAGGCCGTACGTGGCAAATGTTAGGCTGGAGAGAGATTTTATTGCAGAGTAATTATCCTCGATCCCCTTCCTGGTAGAGGTTTATAAGTAAAAACGCTGCCAGAACGCTATTTAGCGTAGCGAAGGCGAAACTGCAGTCAAGAGGCTGCTGGGTTTACACGCCCCCTGTTGGAAAAGACCGTGTAATTAGGAAGAACTCTCTCAC